TACAAATTCTAACACATGTATTATTTCAAGTTTAAAGTAATTTTAATGTTGTCAACAGCAGAGCAAAATAAACCCAAAACAAAACAGCCTGTTGTACCGATCTAGTGGTACGTTTGTTAGTCTCTTAAATAATGTGCTGTGTTAGTTAAACACGCTTTTGTAAATTGAAACTCTAGCTCAGAAATGATTCAACTGTACACGCTTTTCAACGAATAATCTTCTTCTTCTTCTTCGTTCTTAATTATTTGTGTTGAAGGGGATCGAGATTTATATGCCAGTGGGTTTGAACTCGAGACTTTGTGCGAATTTATATCAACCATGAGCTTTTTTGCCGACTCGAACACGCCTCCAACACAATTACGCATTACGTGTCAACTGGTTATGCTCCATTGAGGCCATTGACTCCGATTTTAGCCTGCTTTTCTTTTTGGATTTGCTTCCATAGCCTTTGAACAACCAAGAACAAACTACAAGGCAGCAGTTGTTTAATTTTGGAGTTGTCTCTCCTAGAAGAGTGGCTGTCCCCAGCTAACGAGCCTCATCTGCCCGAGGGTTCGAACTTGTGGCTTTTCGGTTCAGCAACCATGAGCTTTACCGACTCGACCACGGCGACCCGCGACGAAGAATAATTAATGCACAAGAAGCGGTTAAGACGAAAAAAATTGAAAAAATGTACAAATATCTATATCTGTATTCACATCATCATCCAGCTAAATGACCGCTTTTTTGTCTAAATCTATGATTAAATTCAAGGCCAAATTCATTTCCACTTTCTCTTCAACATCCATTTTCACATACAAGAGAGGCACACACGAACACGCATACTTTTATATCAGAATCAACATTCCAATACTTGCATACAGAGTCATAGTTACACTCGTCTATATTTTGTTACCTCACAGAATGTTAATAGTTATTTTCTTTAATCTGAATAGAAATAAAATGGGAGGTAACAACATCTATTGTGCTAGCGATCATGATATTAGTTCCCTCCCATGTTGAATCAATTACCATTGAGTACCCATTCTTTAAAAGAAATAAATCCTTTAAACTATGTAAGCAAATAATACCTTGTTTACGGATGTTTTGACACCAGATCACTGAGTTTAAAAAAGGGACGGATAATTGTTATTTAGAGTTTTAATAAGAAGCTATTTCTAAGTTTTGAGCACACATACATAGTCGACTGAAGAACCAACAGTATTAAGACCCTTACCGTTTTAATTTGTCAATTTTGTGGGTAGAAAAGCAAGAAACAATTTAATATCAAAACATAATACGTTTTAATATATTAAACAGTAGTTGGTCAACATTACGTTGTACTTGTTTTCCTAAGTAATTAGGGGAATTCCCGTTGGAGCTTATTTTTCGGGAAAAAGGGTTAGTGGCGTTCACTTCATGTAGCTAAAACTAGAACACACACAGCTAGCCAGGCTCAAAGATAAAACAGACAGCATTAGGCTGAACTTTTTTTTTTAATCGGCCCCTAATAGACGGGTCACTAATGTATGGCTTAAAAGAAATTCGCCCGCGATTATCTGTTGATCGAGTATTTGTCTCATAAAAATAAAATTAAAATAAAAGCTGTGTAATATGTACACCAGAAGTGTATTGTCCGACATGATTTAGAGGTGCAACAAAAGCATGATGTACAAAAGGATTAGGTCGCAGGGTTTTCTACATCTTATAAAAATCATACTATACTATTTGATGACAAAACGGCAGACACAGTAGTAAAAACAAAACGAAGGGTAATTTGCATTAACCATATTAACAAACTAGGCGGGAAACTATATACTTATGACTTATTTAAAGTAGCAGAAAACAAACGTTCTAAATTACTTTTCAGTGTAGTTTTTAAGACGATAAAGAGAATCATTTTAAATCTGTAATGCAAGTCGTTGCATGATGATCGTAATCGATTGGAAAATAAATCGGGAGCGATCTCCCCTAAACTTTCTCGAATATTCTTTTATGAAAAAAACAGGGGATGGGAACTCGAGATATAGTCATGAATTTTAATCCATTTTAAATAGTTAAACTTTTTAAAATAGAATAAAATCTCGAAAAAAAAAAGAATTGCACATCTTTGAACGCCAAATAAATAGTGCGGAAAAATTATTAGTTTTAATTTACATTCGTTTTTTGAGAAATCGGAAATAGCGTAAATTAGTACTTTCAATCAACGGAAATTTAATCCAAATTTGACAGAAGTTAGAGAATTAGATCTTTTACATAGATGGGAAACTTCATTTATCTATCTGTAATAGTACTCAAGTTATAGGCTTTTGAAAAATTCAAAGTAGAAAAAGTACCATTTTCGGTTATCGGAAATCGCTCAAAAGTTTATACGGATCTACGATTTTGATAAAATACTTATATATTAAATTTCGTCAACCTAGCTGTATCGGTACTCAAGTTATCGTGTTTACACACAGACAGACACACACACACACACACAACGGACAGAATTGCAAAGTCCAGTTTTTACGACTCGATAACGCATAAAACGCCAAAATGTTTATATATTTGTATTTATAATTTTTTGCCTGATTAAAATAAGTCCTCTATACTCCGGATGTGATGAAGGACTGAGGAGTAAAACGGTGAAAACTGTCAAAATTTCATGTTATTTTTATGCACGTTTACAATACTTTCTCTATACTTCGTATATACGAGAAAGTAAAAAATAGCGCATTGATGAGGAAACTATAAAGAAAATCAAAAACAAAAATGGCTTACTAGGTAAATCTAAATACGCTAAATTAGACGAGAAACTGTTTTTAAGTCTTGATGTTGTCATTTTACATCACGCTACAAATAAAACAAAGAGCACACCGTTGAGGGGAGACAAGCAATGTGTTAACGACGTTTGTCGGTGTTAGTTCGATGCCTTGACTTAATGTTATAAAATTAAATATTCAGTTGCTTAGAAAGTAGAGAAAGCGAGTTCTTTTGCTTTGGACGCCGTTGTGATATTCAAAAATGCCGACACTGCGACAATTGAAATTCTGTCACAAAGAATTAAAGTTTTATCGTTTTGTAAAAGCAAAGGTATGGTGTTTGTAACAAACACGTATATTTTGTTGCTATTGCAATATGGCCGTTATTGTGGATTATTTCATTCAGGAACACGATAAACAGTGCCTTTTAATTTTAAACTTTATTTACATAGATCCACAAGAAATAGTGACCATAATCCACAGTGGAAGAAACGACTATCATATTACAGTCTAGAACCAAATTGATACGGTGACATCTTACATCTTACTACACAGTCACAGGCAGGCACACTTAGTTCACCTAGCGTTCCCCTTTTATACATTACATTCTCTCCCTTTACGATCTCACAAAAAGCATAGAAAAACATGACAAGTCGCTCACACAGTGTTTCTGTTGGCCAGGTACTCTACATTCATTCAACTTCATGTAAAATACAATATAGTAATCGTACCCAATAATACAGTCTGTGACAGTGTTCAAAAAGAAGTACGTGTTCGGGCAAAAAAATAGACAGCCGTGTCAAAATTTATCGACATCCACACAGAGTCACATCAAATAAGTATTTCACCTGAACATCTAATTCTCTGTAAGAAAAACGACATGGAAAGTTTTGTCACCGCCAAAACTGTCTCAGTCGGAGATGAAATCCTAACAAAATCTGAGCTGGGATTTGTCTGGTCAAGCGTGGCTGACGTCACGTACAGAGTGGACAGAGGTCTGTATGCACCTTTCACCAGAAGCGGCACCATTGTGGTGGACGGTGTCGTGGCCTCCTGCTACATCGATGTGCTGCCACATGACGTGTCACAGGATGGTGTCACCAATCAGATGTTTGTACCGTGTGTCACCAATGGTGAGACGTGTCTGTGTTGTGTCAGACACACAGGCGGTACCAAAGATAGCTCGCCTAGCCTTAACGGTGTTAGGGTACCGTAAGATGATCGCCAAGGAGACATGGGGGGAAGTTTTGACAGGCACCCTTGTACATTTATGCACACATGCTAAAAAAAAAACTGAGACATTAAAAATTACAAAAAAATCAAAATTAAGCACGCGGTTATATGTAAAGGAAAAGCAGACATAATGTCGAAACTATGCATTAAATAAAACCTAAAGATTTTAAATTTGCATACATTTTAGACATTTAATCAGGTTTTAATCTTAATTTTTCAAAATACATAAATAATTTATATAATTTATTAATTACGTTGTGTATTAATTTAACATGTAAAAATGTAATAGCATAGTAATATGAAATGAAAAGTTTTAAATTATAGAACAATTAATATGTTATTACTTATTTCAGCAACTCATATGATTACTACACTTTTTAATTCAAAATTAAAAATTAAGTACTGACATTTTTTTTTAAAATCATATTTTAAGTTTCTATGAAAATGTAAAAATAAAAAATTAAAGGTTTTTATTTGAGTTTCAAAACATATCTTTTATATAAAAATTGGAAAATTATATATTTGTGTGTATCGAGTGTACATAATACTTAATAAATCAATAAAATTATATAATCATAAGTAAAAACCCACACATTTAAAAGCCAGCATTGGAGTATAAAAACAACATTACAATATACCTCACTTTAAAATATATTTTTTATAACTATAAATGCACTTTTCCGGATATGCCGTTAATATTGAAAATGTTAATAATATAAAAAAACAATTATTACATTAAAATATATATTATTGAGAGCATACGTTTCTATAATCTGGTTTTCACAATAAAAATATTTAAAAAAATGTTTGTGTTATATTTATTTGTATTATTATTATAGATAATTAAAAAACAAGCGGTTCAGCTGCTTGTTAAACAAAACGAAAAAGACAAAAAAAATGACGAAAAAATAGCCATAATTTAACTATTTCTAAAAACAAGTTGGTTGAGAATTATAGGTTCATTGTATTTTGCATGTTTGCAAACATAGTTCGTTCAGTGGAGAAAAAGAATATAAAAGAATATACAAAGATAATTATTTTTTAAAAAAATGTAAAAAGTAAAAACGTTTTACTTATATTGTCATTTTGAAAAAGACGTTCTAAAAATCATAATGTTTAATTAAATCAGAAAATGTCAACTATTTTCATGAAATTGGAAATGTTGCATTTTTATCCTTCCGGCAAAAATTTCACAATTTTAAATTTTTACTGTAAAGACATGTAACTTGCACCATCTAATACATTTTGTGTTGATGTAAAGATGCCAGATGTATTACCCGGCTGTTGTAACTGACGTTCTAGACATTGTTTTTTTAACCGTAACATTTCCATCTCCATCTCGTGTTTTTCTCTGGCCATTCTCATTTCTTCAGCTTGTTTCTCCCTGGCCAACTTCAGTTCCTCTTGTTGTTTTTCTCTTTTTAATTTTATTTCCTCCTGTTCCAACTTTCTTTTCAATGCTTGTGATCTTACATAAGGCATCATGTTTCTATGAAGACGAGGTCTAGCGTTTGCAGTTCGGGTGTTAACTTGTTGTCTAAAATAATTAATAGGTAAATTAATGTAGTTAAACTTATTACAAATATATGATACGCTAAATTTTATATTTAATTACTTAGTGTTTTGTTTATCCATCAACTGTATTGTTAAGTTCATTAACAATTAATTTACCTTGCTGTAGGGAGTCGGTGCGACAAATAGTCGGTTTGTTCTAGAAAGACACGTAATTTAAAAAAAAATACATAACCAAAAATTATATATATATATTTAAATATATATATATATATATATATATATATATATATATATATATATATATATATATATATATATATATATATATATTTATTTATATTTATATTTGTATATGTACATATATATATATATATATATAATTATATATATATGTGTGTGTGTGAACATTTATCTAGATTAATCTTTAAAATTAAATAGTATTAGTATTTTCTTAACTCAATATAGTAACATTATTTCCAGTAATTGATAATCCATCATTCTTACAGCTGACACTGGGATAGTTCTTACCTTGGGAAAATCATTCATACGTTCATACTATAAAGCGTCTCTAAGGCAAACTTTTTAAACCGCTCAATCCCAATACCAAATAGCTAAATAATTCTATAATGCTTGTCTAAGTGACAATACTATGTTACATTTATATCTATTTATAAAGCCAAACTTATTGCATTTCACCTACCAGCGATGTTGTCAACTTGAAAGTCATGAATATTTGGATGTGTGGTTATTTCTTCTTGTATGTTGTTCTCTAAAACTGAACTTGAATACGTGTGTACATTTTCCTGCCCATGGTATAACGATGTAGTTTGTTCGGGCGTTTGATGAGACAGGGGATGTACAGGACTGCTGCTGTAATATGGTGTAAGGTGTGGTAACTCCGAAATGTAATTTGCGTCAATCGCGGAGAAGTGTGTGTCCGGGTTATCTTCATAAAATATACAAATGCATCTTCAATTTAACTTCATTTTTAATTATCATTTCAATATATATAATTTATGTATATCTGGATATAATTTTAATAATCGATGCAAACTCAAATCTAGTTTGTTTTTTTTTTAAATCGTACCTTGTCTGTAAATGTGTTGTTCAGTCCTTTCATTTTCATGTTCTATCACTTCCATCTCGTCCTCTTCTATAATTATATCATTATCGTTATGAACTACTATCTTCAATTTTATGTTAAACACGCACACACAATCATTAAATAAATTTTTAATTTGACTTCTATTGCAATTATGAAGCTAATGTAAAATTTTAGTATTTTTAAATATAATGTAACTTCCCATATTCCTAAATTTCAATTAATAAGAAGTAATGTTTTTTTTTTTAAATAATTATTCAAATAGTAATAATACCTGCTCTGTAAATGTAATCTTCACGACGATCATGTAGCCTACCTGTTCAGGGTTGTCCATGACTACATTATCTTCAATAGTTTCCTTATCTTTCAGAACTACTATCATCAGGATTTAATTAACCATATATATATATATATATATATATATATATATATATATATATATATATATATATATATATATATATATGTATTTTGTCGCTAATGTACACAGTACATTTTGTAATAGTATTTGTAACTACCTGCCATTTCCAATGCTTTTACTTCAGCATTTTCCTGATTTTCGGTGACAACTATGAAATCATCTTCATTGTTTGCATTATCTTCAGTATCATCAACTCCATTATCTTGCTCTACTGATGACATTTCTTCGTTATCTTGATACATAGGGATGACATCTTTAAACTCCTCCTGACATATTTCACACATAAGTTTCACTATTGACTTGTCAATACTGGTCTCACCACTGACTATAGATACGTTGTGTTGTGTCAGCTGTTTTTTAACCTGACTTTTTAATCTTTGGTATTGTTCTATAATACCTTTTATTTTTAGATGTGTAAATTTTGGATGTTTACTTTTAAATTGTAATTCGATATCTTCCCAAGCTTCTTGTCTCTGAGCTCTAGTTGTTTTGTCACGTTTCTTGGATTCTATGATGTCTCTGTGTTCACTTACCATCACCAGAAGGTCAGTTTTTTCCTCAATTGACCAATTATCTGTACGTCTTAAGAGTGTGCTGCAGACTCCAGAACCTGATGGACCTCTTTCAATTTTTTCCTCTTCTTTTATTTGTCTTTGTTTTGTTTTGTCAGTTTTCTTTAATTCCATTTTGTCTCTATGTTTACTGTTTTTAACAAGACGGTTTGGTTTTTTGCGCCCGTCACTTGTGTTGCAGTCTCCAGAAGTTGAGGACTCATTTTCATCTATCGCTTCTTCGTTTATTTCTCCTAGTGAATTTAAATTATATTAAGAATTTTTTAAACACATATTTTCTTTACAGACAAACTAAAACACATTTTAGTGTCTCAGGCATGTCTCGTGGGCACGAACGGGAAAGGATGATAATGATTGTTATATATATTAGTATTAAATTAGTGCAAAAATGTGTTTTAAAATTTTTTTAAATCTATATCTATATCTATATATCTATATATCTATATATATATATATATATATATATGTATATATATATATATACATATATATATTACATATATATATTACATATATATATTACATATATATATATATATATATATATATATATATATATATATATATATATATATATATATATATATATATATATATATATATATATATATATATATTTGATTGTTTGTTTTTTCTATAGTAATAACATTATTTTCTTTACATGCGTGATAGCATCTGCCTAATAAACAATTTAAAACACTGATACAAAAATAGAGCAACCTTAATATATGCCCAAAAATTAGAAGCAACAATATACAGCTAGCTAATCGACATTTTGTTTGAAATAAATACACATTGCTACTATTACTAATATAATAATATAGATTCTATCATCACATTTGCTTTTCCATTTCGTGCCCAAGACACACGGGCCAAGTTAGTAGAGTTCATCGATTTCAATGATCTGGGGATAATAGGGAGTAATGTGTTCACCACTATGCACGGGTACAATTCAGAGCTGGGTGGGCTCAAAAACAGCTGATTTACTTGGTATTCAACTTGAGAATTGTGAGTTAGTAGTCGAGAGCTTCACCTGTGACTACGTCGTCTCCTAAAATGTGATTTAGCTGTAATCAATGCTGAATATAGTTAAATATGTTATAAATACTTACTATGTAAAATAGAGTCTCTGCTTTTCTTTTTAATTTCTTTTTTAATTATTTTATTAAGTCCGTATTTTCGCATAAGAATTTCATCCCCTGCGATTTTGTATACGAAATTTTTGTCTGAGATTAATTTTCTTAGCAGCTCAATGAGCAATTCTCTTTTGGAAATGCCATAGTCGGCATAACGTAAACATTTTAGTGGTACCATTGAAGAAATCTGAAAAAAAAATAGAAACAGAAATTTCAAAGACACAAGTTAGAGATTATATAGTTTTAGTCATGCATCTGTAGCACCCAGACCAATGGAAGAGCGTGTACAAATTTAGTTGGCTTTAGTGCAAGCGTGTGCATTGGGCTTAAGGGGGGGGGAGGGATTGAGTAGATGTGGACCACCACATGTTGAATTTCAATGTGCTTCCGCGTGTTAATCGGCATAGAATCTCAAAACAAAATGTATTCAAAAATGAAGCAGAATGGATTTTTCGGCACCCTAGAAAAAAATATTATTATCCAATGCTGCAAGCAACCACATAATGTCTTGATTAAATTAAGTCCATTGATAGCCATTAAAATACAGGATGCCACATGTTAATTATTCCTGCTGTACCCACATACAGTGATAGCAAGTGGTATTTCTTTTTTTTTCCAACTTACCAGATTAATATTGTTGTCATCCACACAAAGTAACGATTTAAACTTTTTTTCTCTATCATAAACAAAAGCGTCTTTTAATTTCTTGATTACGAATTGTATTTCGTCTGAGGAAAAAAAATATATCTGATATCTTCCTTTAATAAAACAATTTTGTGGGTAACTTTTCTGATATGATAGGAAAGAAAACTCTACTGACTATAAACATATAATATTAACAAAAAAATTACAATTATACGAGGACTTATATTTGGTTATATTTTGGATAATGTAAAAATTATTTTAAGTTACTTAAAATGTTTTTACCCGCAGTAAATGTGACACTTTCTTTATCGTCTGATAAGAGAATTTTTATTTTCTTTCTTGAAATCTCATCATTAGTGTCACGATTTAGAGGAAAATATTCAATGGCCTGCAAAAATAAAGTTATATCTTTTGTCAGATTTTAAAAAATGTAAATGACATACGATATTAGTATTTTATTATTCTTTTAAAAATACCTACCTGTAAAATGGCTTCTCTATCATCTGTATCCAAATGTAGTGCTATAATTGCAAAAATACTCAAAAATCTTTTCACAAAGTGCTGTTTTAAATTGTCCTGTAAAACAATAATAAAGTTAAAGTGAGTCCGTTTTTTGTTAAATTTTCCTATAGTGACAAAATTGTGTTTTTTCTTAATTGCTCAATAGCGAAGAACTTGAGAGGAATAGAAAATGTATTTTTATGTGCTTAAAATAAGCACCACAAGGCAATCAATAAGGAAAAACGGAGTTCAAAATATGTTACTTTAAATATGAATTATGCTGTTATCTTTTAACAATAATTAAAACAAAGATCCAATAATGGCTTATAGCAGTGTTTGAACACAACATGTTTGAGTCAATCAGTGAAAAATGTATTATTAAACGGCCAAACGAAAATATATAAAATTATTGTAAGATAATAAGCACTATCTACAGTTTTCTTCTTAATATAAATTCGGTGATCATCTAATCATCAAAATCATATTCCTTTAACGCAAAGAAATATTTCGGTCTACTGAATGTCTTGGTGAGCAGACTCTACAGTCTTTTCTTTCTCTCTCTCTCTCTCTCTCTCTCTCTCTCTCTCTCTCTCTCTAAACACACACACACACATATATATATATATATATATATATATATATATATATATATATATATATATATATATATATAAATATATATATATATATATAAATATATAAATATATATATATATATATATATATATATATATATATATATATATATATATAAATATATATACATATATATATATATATATACACGTAAATAATTTAAACATGTCGTACCTCGCAGTTTAGAAACTCGTTGATAGCTGGGATAATGTAATTTACAATTCCTTTTCTTGCAACACACTGTTTCACGATCAGTAAGAGAAATACAATTAGTTGTTTAAGTTCAATATTGTTATGTTTGTACAATAAAACATGCTTTGTAAAGTAAATACAAAATGTAGCTACCTCTCCAAACGTCTTACTTGATTTTATGTAAAATTCTGCGATGTTTAAAATCGTCGTTACAATAAAACATTGTTGTTTAGCTTGCATTGTCTTGGCTTCTTTGCAGATATCTATTAAAGTATCTGTATCATAATTCGAGCAGTTAAATTAGAATTGATTAATTTCTTTTATTTTTATTAAAATTAAGATATGATATTTCATTTTAAGGACATTTTAAAGCCCCAACCTTCAAAATGGAAATTTTAGTTAAACATATAATTAGAAAACAAATTGGAAATGTAAAACTTCCAAAATGTGTTATCTTCCACCCCAGAAACATATTAGGAATTGAATATTTGTCTAAACACCAAAAGTTATAATCTGGGCAGCTGTAGATGCCATTAACTGATAGTTTATAAAATAAATTAATGAATACCATCACCCATAAATACAAAGTAGCAAACCTGCATAATACGAAACTTTATCCTCAATCGTTCCATGTCTTACAACATCGAAAAATAGCATCCTGAGCATACGAGATACAAAAAGACGGTCGTCATTAAAGTTTTTTCTTGTTCTATGAAGGACATCAAGGATGATTCCAGCTCCTGGCTAATTAGTAAATAAATTTTAGTTTTACATGTGCACAATTTCATTTCATATTAGTCTAAAGTATGCACCGTAATAGATACATGCATGTTACCTTTTAATATTAAAATATGCATTATGAATTTTCTTTTTTTTTTTGTTGCATACCTCGTAAATCTTGTTTAGCAAATATTGAAAATTATTAATCCTGCAATAATCAATAGTTTTTTTTTTAATATCAAAATTCACATTTTTTAAAAAATGCACTAGGTGTAAGTAGTTTATCTTTTTTTTTTAATTTTGTAAACTGTTTAACTCTTTTTTTAACTATTTCTCAATAAAACATACACGATTCTTACCTTAAGTTATTGACTTGAATATCATTGAGACTTTTGCGTCTAGTACATTCATTTAGCCCTGTTTTCCGGTAAATAATGCACATATTCATTATTATAATATTATTTGCTATACTTTTGCCTTTAAACCCATTTTAGAAAAGTAAATAATAAATAAGTTAAAAAACACTAAATTATTTTGTGCAATTTAGAGTACACAATAATGTATAATAAGCAAACTACTGAAGAAGAACTTTTGTGGGTAAGGGTAGTTAACAGGGTTTAATAGATCTGGGTATAATGGTAAGTTGGTAATGACTGGCGTGTAACTGACATTTGACAATATTTAAGAGCATTTTGTCCTCTTCACGTTTGAATGCAATGTTTTTTCCAGACTTTTTTTCTCGGGGTGGGGGGTGTGCACTTGATATTTTCGAGGGTGGAGGGGGAACTTTTTCCGGAGGTGGGGGGGGGGGGGGCAGACACTGATAAAAGTATATGTTTTCTATGTAAATTCCATTTCGTTCCGGAGGTGAGGGAGGACTTTTTTCAACATTCAGTCAGAAAATG